CTTCGTAAGTGACACTGGATAGGTCTAGAGATTCTTTGTGTCATTTGCTCCAACCTTATCTAGACTTTGTCTACCATTTGTGTCCTACTGAAATATCAAAAATTATGTCTTAACCCTAAACAGTACACCTGGGGTCCGCGCGGACCCCATCACTATATATCCTGTAATATTTGTTTTTTGTTTCTAAAGATTTTCTTCTGAAATTTCGGGTATTTGTCACCCATAAAGTTGTCCCTCCATACAGTGCAGAAAACTCATTTTCCCCCTTTAAAAAAAAATTTATATCTGATTTTCTTTTGGGGTCCGCGCGGACCCCAGCCGGCTTTTGGTCGTAATGGACACGCTGGCGTTCTTATACATTACTTTATTTCCGTTTTTTAATGTTTTTATGCACTTATCGTATGGCCACATAATTTTCAGAGAATGGTGTACTAATAAAATTCATTCGCGTATCAATAATTCGTGTTTATAAACTGTTAAATTGAAGAACTCTCCAGAGTGTCACTAACGAAAGTTAGTGGATGCTACCTGAAACGTCTGACCATTTTCCATCTCTCTAGTTGCTTGAGTAACGGTTTTGCGGGCGATTTCACTACAGCTACTCTTAACCACACACTCACGCAAAATACAGTAAGACGGACATGAAATATTCAACCATGAGTTTCTCTGCAGTACCGTAGGAAGCCACTTGAGTACTTCACCTTGACCATCGTTGTCCCAAACCTACCTACTAAATATTTTAGGCCACATTCATCTATTTTCAAATCCGCAACCCCACATATACAATGCCTTTACACAATTAATGGTAAATAAATGACTGCAAAGTCTCCATCTATGCTCTGTCGTGTTTGATTTGGGTATTTAAAGTGAACGTGTACTCCATTTGGGGTCACCTAGGTTCATTTGCTCTTGACTTTTAACTGTGGGTAAAGGAGTGAAAAAAATCCCCTTTTTGTTCATGAGAGGGCAGCAGAACCAACCTACCTGTCATGTTGGTTTTCTCGTTTAGACGTTGTTCCATATTCGCAGTCTGGTTTTGCTTGTATCCTATGGTCATAGCATCCACTGTAGTTGGAATGTAGGGTTTGTCCTGTAGAAGAAACAGAAAGGTTTAAACAAGAGTTCGCCCCAGGTATCGGGACCGAGGGCGATGCGGAATACACCGTGTTGTATTTTATTTATGCCATACCCGGTACCCACCCACGAAAACACGCCTTTCAATGCAAGTAAGCCAAAAGTTGGTGCCCCTAAACCCTCAAATGCAACAACATCTGTATTCGAATTTTCGAAAGGGCCGCACACGGTTAGGGCGAAACGCGTTCGAATTTTTCTATAGAAGCCATGGAGCCCGGGCCGTACCGTAAAGTATGGCCCGGTCCGGAACTCGTTATCGAACGGTATCGCGGCCCGGGTATGATATAAATATAGAATACAACACGGGGTATTCCGTATCGCCCGAGGTATCGGCCCGACCGCGGGTCGGATCGCCCGACGGCCGCAGGCCGGAGGGCGATCCGACTCGCGGGAGGGCCGGGACCGAGGGCGATGCGGAATACACCGTGTTGTATTTTATTTATGTCATACCCACCCAAGAAAACACGCCTTTCAATAAGCCCTTTCGCCATTAGCGGCGCGAAATGCATGATGGGTAATGTCCGCCATTTTTGGAGATAAACACGCCGCCGCGCGAACATTTAATCCCCATGTTATGTACGAAAGGTGTGTACACCTGGGGAAGGTGTAAGCCGTTTTGGCGTTCAAACAGCGACGTTAGCTTCCGAACGGCTACGTTTGGATAGATCTAATTCTTAAGAATAAACGGAGTTTTTGAGTTAAAAGTATTTTAATAGTTCAGACGTGTTTTTGTGTGTGTGTGCTTCGTGTGTGTGTACCGGCAATGCCTGTGTCCTGTGTGTGTTTTTGCTGGTCGTAAGTGAAGATTTTCGTTGCGATTTCGTGCCGAAATGGAGGACGAGGCTGATGGTCCTTCCTTGGAAGAAATCGGACATTTGGAAAGTGCCGGCATTGAAGGTCTTTTTGCGAGAGAGAGGACTCAAAACAACGGGGAGCTGGAGAAAGGCCGAGCTGCGAGCGCCGTGCAGCTCGGTATACCCGTGAAGCAGGACGAGATCGCCGAGGACAGGGCACGATCTACGCAGTACGCCGAACTGTTTAAGGTTAATGGCACAAAACTACCTGATCCCCTGCTGGACTTGACTGAAGGGTGGCTGAAGGAAAAGGACGCCGGGGAACAAATTATGGCCTCCGGTCGGCTTCACGAACATCGCCAAGTGGCTGCTGTGCGAGGCCCCGTGCGTCAGCGAACCGAGACAGCAGCTCGAGGACGGATCGGAAGACAGCAACACTGCACGATCGTCTCCTCAGCGACTACAAAGAAGGGAAAGCTTACTCGTACTTCGAGAGCAAGTGGGTAAAAACAGAAGTCCACTACCAAACAAACCAACTGAGACAGTTCTAGAGAGTTCGGGGTTCAGAGTTCGGGAGTCACTTGAGCGAGCGGCCACGTGGTATGTGGGCCCACTGAAATCTTGTTGTTGTATCTAATCACAAAAAATTTCCATGCGGAGGATGTGTGGACAGGGGCACTTGTTGCAGCTGAACAGTTCTTCAAGGAGTTTGTTGCCCCTGAACCTGTACACAGAAAGATACAGAAGAACAATAACCCCAAAACCACAGAGTGAAGTTGTAGAAGCCATATGGTCATTTTTATTCCAACCAAGGAGTTATCTCAATGTTCAAAAAAAATCTTGTTTCACAATTTCATTGTTCAAAATTTGCTGTTCAAGTTTCATGCATTCTAGTACAAAAATGCAGTAGATATAGTGTTGGATAGTTATACACATGTATATAGATTATAGGGTAAACTCATACATTATTGTCCTTGGCATTTGTTTATGAAGTATTTCCCAGCAGTGAAAAACATTGACAAACATGTGAAAGATTTCATTTCAAAAGAAAATTGTATCATTTTCCTCCTATGTAGAAAGGCAATCCTTACAACAAGCACTCACTTCATGTATGGTACAGTATATGCAATGCAATGATGACTTACATTGCACATAATGATTACTAAAAAAATGATGATGAATATGTAAGCTCAGAGATGTAGACTATGATTAGTATGAATGACACTGCCAGGTTTACTTGATCAGGCCTGGCTGCAGGTTAACTAATGCAGCACAGACCTTGACAATATCATCTGCTGCTGATACCAATGTTATGGGAAATGGAGGATTTTGAAGTCCTTAATTCTATTGATTGCCCGTTGCACATGAATTCTCAAGTTAGCCACTTTCTTTGTTTTCCCTACTTTGTCCCTAGTCATCTGACGATTCCCCTGTGCAGCAGGTGGAATTTCCAAAGTAGCACGTCTAAGCAAGAGGTCTTCCTGAATAGGAAAGCCCCTGTCAGCCATAATCACATCATTCGCTTCTACTAAATCTAGGAATCCGCTATCTCGTGTGATAAACACATCAGAGGCTCTTCCGCCATACGTCTTAGACACAAATGAGATGTGTCCATTTGGAGTTATTCCTATAAGAATCTTTAGCATATTGTGCTTCTTGTATTCTGACCATGTTGATGCTTGTAAGTCCAAAGATCTGGGCCTCTCAATAAAAATCTCTGTACAGTCAAGCTAGTATGCATCTTATTCTTCTACATTTCTTCTTGAACTGTGGTGGTATAGTCTCTGTGATAGCTACAGCCCTGACAGTCACATTCTTCTCTGCAGTCACATTTGTAAGTGTACCTGTGGTCATGCTCTGTCTTTTCCACCGGAGTCATTACAACATCATCTTCATCAATACTAGCACATGTGCGTGGCTTCTTTTTTTGAGGGTCAGGAACCGCAACACGTTTTGATGGAGGTGGTCGCTTTGGCGTTACCTTCTGGTCAGATGAAGGCCCTGTGTAGCCGAGATGTAGGACGGGGTCAGGATGTGCTGCTGTGGGTTTGCCATCTATAAAGTATCAAGAACAAACCCTATCATGTGGCTTGTTAACCCAGTTTTTATTGCTAACCGAGTCTTTCTTGTTTATTAGTTTGTTCCACCGTCTCCTTGCATCGGGTCTTTTCTTCTCAGTAGGGAATGGGAATAGTTTGAACGGTGGTGGGCAGTCGGGGCAGTCGCAGCAGCCAAGTTTGGTACCATGTTTTTGGCATGTCCATTTGTCTAGTAGATGGTATGTTGAATTGCTGCAATTCACTACTGCACACAGCTTCATGATGAACAGTAACACTGTAAAAAGAAGAAGAGAGGAAAATTGAACAAAAAGTGATACTACATGGATTTAAGTTCAAAACATTTGTCTTGACTGCACTAGCATAATTTTTGCATGCATAAAACCCTACCCCACCACCATGTATCCTAGTATTCTGATTCCTACTACGAAAACCACACTAAATATTTACTAAAATTATTGGTGCACTCACTGCATGTGCTATTCATTCATGGTTATTATAATCGTTAATTCGTCGTGAGGATTGCGGTTAGAAAGCTTTATGTACTTGCGGTGACACGAGACAAAGACGTGCCACGCATATCGGCCTGTTGTGCAGACAAAAGCCAATGCTATTTATCGAAATTTTTTACTGTCCAAAACATATGCCACACTATTTTACCCATATAACCACTCTAAAAATAAAATAGATGTTCCAAAACTCGTTTTATCGAGATTGGTCAGGAAAATTGAGCAGAAAACGTGAAGACAGAAGGCGTGCAGCATGGGGGAGGGGGGCATGCAGGCGGTAGCGCTAGCTTGCATATCGTCAAAAAAACCTACCGTAAATCCCCTTGAAGAGAATATTTTTGGCAAACTAGGTCCAGAACATCGTTGGAACTCAGCCCAAGGCGGGTCACCACCGGTAACGCCGTGTGTAAGCTGGAAATTCAGACATGATGGTGCTTGGCACAAGGGCGTCCGCGGTTCTGTTTATCTCTCTGTTTATCTCCAATTTCTGGATCGAACGTCAAATTCCGCGCAGGCGCACTAGTAATTGCGAAAGGGCTTATGCAAGATGAGCCAAGAGTTGGTGCCACTAAACCCTAAAATGCAACAACATCAATTCCAACGACCGAAATTCTGTATTCGAATTTTCGAAAGGGGCACAAGCGCGTAGGGCGATACGCGTTCGAATCGTTTTATGGAAGCCATGGAAGCGTTCGATAACGGGTCCGGAACCCGTTATCGAACGTTATCGCGGCCCGCGTATGACATAATTAAGGGTTAATGACCCGCCCCGAGGTGAATATGGTGTGATAAAGCCTTGGCAGTTGCTATAACCACCGAATAAAGCCATCGAGTGAGCGACAGCGAACGAGGTGGCTTTATTAGGTGGTTATAGCAACTGACAAGGCTTTATCACACCATATTCACCGAGAAAGGGCGGGCCATTAATGCTATTATCATATAGCCTATCAAAACTTACACAGTAGAGAGTAACACATTCCTGTATAACACATATATCTAAATTATATAACAAACCATTACAGTCACTCCTCTATCCTCCCGTCCGCTGGCCACTGTTCCTGTGCATCTTTCTCGATTACAAGGACCCACATATTGAGTCTAAATTGGCCTCAATCAGTTCTTCTATGACAAATTCTGACACACCATTGTCTAAAATTGTATTCCCTTTAGTGTGATGATTTTACTTGTTCTATTAGAGTTCCTTTGAGTTCACCGGAACTTCGGAACAGAACCGTTATGGCCAAAAGAATAGAACAAGTTTCCATTTGAGGTCATCTGAGGTCATTTGGATGTTTCAATACAGAAATGTACTTACTAGGGGGGTGGTGCGAGAAGGGGCTGCACGAGCAACCTCCATGGAGGAGCTCTGCAGAGCTCCTCCATGGAGGTTGCTCGTGCAGCCCCAAGTGATACCTCTGCAGAGCTCCGCGACAAAACAAGTCAATTCGCTGGTTGTCGTCACTGTTGAGATTTCTTTTAAATTTGTGAGCTCTGCGTTCAAAACAAGTCAATTCGATGGCTGTCGTCAGTTTTGTATAGAGCTCCGTGGATTTTAAGCCAGTTCAATGTGACTACTAGACCTTGTAACGTACCAGGGGCTCTCCCAAACAAACAAGACTTCGCAGAGCTCCATGGAGCTGCTCGGACAACCCTAGTCCGTCGGTTATAAAGCATACAGAGCTCCGCGACAAAACAAGTCAATTCGCTGGTTGTCGTCACTGTTGAGATTTCTTTTAAATTTGTGAGCTCTGCGTTCAAAACAAGCCAATTCGATGGCTGGCGTCAGTTTTTTATATAGCTCAGTGGATTTTAAGCCAGTTCAATGTGACTACTAGACTTTGTAACGTACCGCGATACCCCAGCAGAGTTCTGCGACAAAATAAGTCAATTCGTTATACAATAAAGGTCTTTAATTCATTCACTATATAAAGGGATCTGTAACCTGAGACAAATTAAGAAAATAGTCTACGGAGCTCCAACCGCGGAGCGGCAATTTTCCGTCTCGTAAACGGTCAATGCCATTCGGCTGGTCGATGCCATATCCGAGCAAGGGGTTTCTACTAGGTGTAGAAGCGCACGATAACTTTTTGGGGGGTCCACAAACAAATAAAAAGTGATATACACTATAAAAAGCAATATTCTAATTGGAAGTATAAGGGAAGGTCATGTCGAATTGTAAATATTAGTAAAAAAAAGGGGCAAGCTCAGATTCAAACCCGGGTCTAAAGGTGTAGCTCTAAAACCATAACCTAAACCCGTTACCCTAACCTCTACGCCACAAAACATCACGGTGTGTTTTCTTTTCTTTTGCTCAAAATTCACATGTATTGACATGGTCTTTATTTTGTTATGTATTGCTAAATAAATTGGGTGATGACAAGACGGTAAACATTTCTATTCAACAAGGAAACGTGCTACAAATGTCAACAAAAATAGTCAACTCCCCTGCATAATGGTTTGCTCCGGGCCGTGCTTTATTGTGCAACAAAGCACACTTGTGAGAATAAAACACACCTGGCAATACTTGTATCATTGTAACTGTGACATTATGGCGTCATAATCAATATGGAATGGGGGCTTCTGATTGGTCAACGCCACCTGGCTATTTGATAATTATACATATTCCCCATATTCATACATACCCATACCCATACTCATACATATTCCCCAGGGTTACTTAATGTAACCCATTACATTCAAAATTATACACCGAGTTAAACATGTTGCTTGGTTTTACTAGTGCCTCGAAATAATTTCAAAATCACCTTTTGATGTTTGTAGGTCCTCTGGTTGATGGACGTCAGCAGGATGGCACACACTATGACCAGAGTTCCCAACACAGCCAGGGCAGCGGCCCAGTAGAAGACATCATGGCCTTTTGCTCCATTATACGGCGGCGTCTCAGTGTCTTGTAAAGAAATGAATGTAATTTTTTTAAGTAAACACATTATTAAAACCATGACGAAATAACAGAAATGATATTAATAACATGCAAATTAAGTAACAGAATATATGTTATTATTATTTTAAATGATAAAATGACAAATAGTAATTTTATAATAGAAGACTAATTATATGATAAAATGACAAAAACAATACGCCATGAAAAATTTAAAAAAAAGAAATATAAGGAAAGCCCTGACGAAGATCGGTTTGTGTGTGCAGGTGTTTGCACGTGTCTGTGTACGTTTGTTAAGTGAATGAATTATTTAAATGGCTGGCTTAAATTAAATAGTGTAAGTCGTATATTATCACATCTTCTAGTTTTTTCTCCATTCTTAATATAAAAAAGCCTTACATTTCGCCATCTTATGTATACCTACAATGTAGATAGATATGATATAGCATATGATAAGGAGAATGCATAATACTAGTACAATTTAAAGAGCTGTACACTACCTGTAGACGTGTCGGTTTCATGAGGCCCGTCTCCCGAGTTATTCTCTAGTTTTACCGCCTCAGCTTCTTCGTACACGTTCGAAGAGGTATGCCCTTGAGAGGCATAATTTCCGAGCCCGCGAGTGTTACGTCGGCGGTCGGGGGGATCTGGGTAGGGAGCCCGCGGCCTGTTATTTTGCTCCCTGTCGGACCCCGCTTGCGGAGTCCTGACAGGCTCTGCCTGCTCGTACATCTTTACTGTACGAACATCTGAAGGTTGCACAGTCTATAAGAGAACGAGATTTCAATATTTATTTTACTACCAAGGCCGTCCAGTATGACGACGTGGCATATTAATGAATATGTATTTGGTTTAAAAGCAAGCGCCGCCTGCGCTTTTTATTAAGTTGTTTTGTTTTTTGTGTAAATATTAGACTAATCTGTGTACTATAGGGTTGCTGTAGCCGTCCTTGCCATCACTCATTGTTTGCGTGTGACAAGACTAAAATCCAGCAATATTATACCTTCGCCAATAGTTACTACGCTCACTTGGTGGTTTATTCGTTGGTTATCGCACCTAACCAGGGATGATATCACCCTATACACAGAGGATAAGGCGGGCATTAACGTTATTATCATATAGCCTATCCAACTGACACAAATTATTTAATAAAATTCCTACTTTGACGAAAACTCTCACATTCTATGTTACGTGAAACATGGCATGGACAGAAAAACATCATCTAGGCAATCATCAAAACTTTTAGTTTGTGAAAAATTATGTTTAGTCTTTGTATTTGAAATAAATAATTCTAAATAAACTACAATACGTTTTAATAGATAAATACTATTAGTCTTAAAACTACTGTTAGTGCCCTGTCCCTGTATAATGGTACGGTCCAAAAAGTGGTCAGTCATTCCAATAAAGCGACGGTCACAACCCGCCGTACGTGCTTCTGCGTGCTGTCTACGTGCAAAAACGTGGGCAAACGTAGGGCATCCGTGCGTGGTGAGTACCGCCTCCGTACGGAATCCTACGGATTTGGGAGGACGCAGACACGCCGTAGAACTTTAAGTGCATGTAAAACTTTTTCTGCGTGCGGTCTACAGATTCACCACCCGTGCGTGCGAGTACGGGCGCGCGCGTGCCCCGTACGTGCCGTACGGAAGAAGCACGTGTGAGGACGGCCTCCTTACGGTAAAGTTGCAATCGCAAAGAGATCGTACGTTGTAAGCACGTACAACTCACTTACCACTTGCGCAACGTACGATGCACGCAACCGCTCACGGCCAGACTTGGCGTGCAGACCACACTCTTACACCTTGCGAAACCGTGCGAGTGACGTGCGTA